TTTTAGAATATTTTAAGCATTTTTTTGTTTGTAATCCATATTTGTTCAATATGCTGCACATATTTAGCGTACTTATTAATGCATGTTTTAATACCTTATATGTTTAGAATGAATAATATTGCCCCCAAAACATACCTGCGTGTCCACATCATAGCAGCATCAAGTAAATTTTTCCAATTTTTCTAATTTTCAATTAAAAAAAAATAATAATAATGAATAATTATATTTTATTTATAAATTTCAAATTAAAATATCAAAYTGTATAAAAAATTTATTATATAAATTACATTTTGGTTATTTTTTAAAGCATATTTGTATGGTTTTAACTTTTTAAATGCATTTAAATCCGGGCTCTARTTATAACCCAAGGAGCAAGGATACATAAAACAGTCTTAAAAACGACTTCGTTCATTTAAGTACAATATTGTCTATACTCTTCCAGTGGTGTAATTTGGTCATGACTGTGAGTGGGGAAGGATTGAAATATTTACCTACWATACCCCCTTACTAAAAAAAAACTGTCGGTTTATGTTCATTAAAAACTCAACTACACCATTGTGATCTATAATATATAAAATGTAATAAGATATAATAATAAATAAAGTTTTAAAATGTATTTAGTTTTGAGTAGATTAGTGGAATGATCAGTATATTATACTATACTCAAAATTTCGAACTTCAAAAGGTTATAACTTTTAAACAAGATCTCGCGACAAATTTCGATTGTACCATTGTAATTAATTCGTTGAAATATGTGTTAGTATATAGTTTTCCGAAAAAATTACAAAAATCACTTACGAGCTAAACTGCATTGTYATGTATAGTACTCCTYATGTACCTCGMATGGATGTATATGTGTGGATATAACCCCTCCCTTCATTATAACGCCACTGATAAAGTCAAGATATAGAACGTGAATTGCGAAAATAATTAGGTTTCAGTCACATATAGTGCTTGATAGCACACCTGTGTGTAAACTTTTTTAGGCGAGCCACGGAAAACTATTTATATACCATTGAATTTTAAATTATAATATGCATAATGTATATAATAGTATACAACAGGCGATGTTTAGCAGTGGCGTAATTATGGCGTGAAGAAAGGATGGTCATATGGGGATATCCCTCGAGCCTTTTTTTAAATAATCATAATTTAATTCCAGTAAGCAATTGATTTTAAGATTTTAAAATAAGAAATAAAAATTTATGGACATTATTAAACTTGAAATTTCTTTTTATTTTAATAATTTAAATCTACGATACCTCAACAATTATAATATATGACAAGAAAATTGTATGGCTCATAGTTAAAACATAACTTTGCAGAAAACCATTATTATACCATTGCCTCATTTAATTTATAATAAAAAATTAATATAATACTATTGATCTATGAAATTTAATGATCACGGATGTGTGAAGGGCTTATCCCCCTACTAGGACGATAATATAAACTTATACCCCACCCTAGGCCCCAGAATCAATTCCAAATTACGTCACTGCTATTTAAGATACTTACCTTATGAGTTTATATAATACAGATAATAAATATAATTGATTTTTAACTTTAGATATGGTCACGATATTCATTGTATCATACTGTGAAGAYATTTGGGATTTATATTATAAAGCTGAATTTGAAGGATTAAATGGATTACTATATATTTCAATTACAGGTTATGTATATATTTAAAAGTTAACATAATTAATTAGGAAACAACTTTAAACATTAGGTATACGTACAATTTTTATATMAATTGTTAAATTAAATATTTTGATGCGTATTTTAATGGACAGTAGCAAGTAAAGTTTAGGCAATATATCAGATAGGTGTAGATACTTATATAATATCTATATTTTTTAATAAAATACAATAATAATCAATAGGTATAGTTCAATAAAATATCAGATAATTTTCAAAATTGATAAGTTAAGATAAATCATTCTATAGYGTAAAAATAGTATACCTACTATTACGAATATGCAAAACAAAAAACAACAGACACCCGTAGAGAAGTAGCTCTCTATATAGGCGCAAAATACTTTTAGTGAAAATATAAGTCTTGAGGTARCTTCGTTCGCTTTCGTACTTCTGTCGATGAATATTAATCAGATCTTAACCACTTAACCTTTCATTTACCATTCAGTTTCTCAGTTATATCTTTAAACGACGTAAAGTACTAAAAATATAAAGACAAATTATATATTCAAATAAGTTGATCAAAGCGAAACAGTAATTTCCAACAACTGCATATTGGTCATTGAACACTATTATAGCCTGATGGCTGATGGCACAAATATATGTTTAACAATAATGATTTAATAATTCCTTAGATACTGATTGCCCGAGACTACCAGTAGACGAGGCAATTACTATTCCTTTGACTGCCCATCATTCGGAACTTTCTCAAATGATGTTGGATTTAAGAATGTCAAATGCGTTTTCATGGAAATCAGCAATTTTAATGCATGATAATTCTATTAGTAATTGTCTTTGGCTATTGACACTAAGAACAAAATACTTTACATCGATTCAACATTAAATCATTTACAAATTTTTATTTCAGGTGATAGCGTTTTACAACATATTGTAACATCATTGACAAAATACTATCCAAGTAATGTTTTTTCACCATCCATAACTATTTTTGAAATTTATACGCAAGGATCTGAGTGGAAAAGGTTTTAAAAATTGATACTTTAATAATGTTCACTAACACGAACTCTACTCGATACATACTATTATTAATATTTTAGATATCCAGTAAAAATATACAGGGTGTCTCACGATGATCTGACATATGAAATAACTTTTGTTGAAAAATATTTAAAAATGTTATTTTATATATACTTCACAGACTCTTACGATACATTTTAATATAATTTTTGTATTTTTTATTTTTTAATACTGAAAATAAAAACTTAAAAATT